TAGCCCCCGTTAAGCCACCCAGTGATCTCACATTACTTCATCCAGCTGTACTAATCGTCAACAGCAGGTGTGTTCGGGGAACCGGATTAGCGAGCTCAGAGTTAGCGCGATGATTTGGTCTCGGATGTAGTAAGCGACGCACGAAGAACGGGCCCCTGGTCTAACGAGGGATCAGACTAGGAAGCCGCTCACCCAACTGTCCGCTTACTTCTGGCCGTGTTTAAGAACTGGTCACAGTGGAGACACGTGGTTTTCACAGGACCGCCACAAATGATGTCACAAGCAGAAAAACTCGGACGCGTTTCAAATAAATATTAGTTTATTACTGAAAGTGTCGTCGGCAGAGACGACGGGCAGGTTAAGCTCAGTTACACAAACACGGATTCAAAAGTGTTCACGTGATGACACGGCGCCGCTAAAATCTGAAACAAATCACACACCAAGCTCTACAGCAACACCCCACTTCCTGTCTGACACAGGAAATGGATTAGAGTAAAATGTCTGCAGTGGAATCGCTGAAACTCGACTTGAGTCGAGTGGCTACATGTGTCAAAAAACAACCAAACACTAATAGGCTGGAGGTCAAAGGTCAACGGTGCACAGACAGAGGGAAACTTCTTCTACAGTTTCAGTTTTTATGATACAGGAAGTAAAATGTGAACACAAAAATAAAACTTCTTCTAGCGAGCCACAGTCAATCAGCTTACAGGTGAGACCTTCATCATCATCATCATCATCTGTACAGTGTGTTTACATCAGAAACAAAGTAAACAGCAAAAATAAATACAGACTGTGACATCACAGCACGTCACGTGTCATGTGACACAGTTTAGGGTGAGCTGCACCAACACTCATCAACGTTTCTGAATTAAACTACCGATAAATACGTTTAAGAAGTATTTTATTTTGAAAGTGCCAAACCACTTCAAAGTAAAAGACAGTTTCTTAAAAACAGCTGAGGAAAACTTTCAGATATTTTGTTCTTGACTTTCTTTTTTTTTTGAACATGAACGTCTTCCTTTGTTTCCCGTGTTATCTGTTTCCTGTTCAGAGGGAGTTCTTCCTCCCCACAGTCAGTTTCAACAAATCAACATGAAGTGCCTCCATATTTCTGTGATGCCTGGATATTTAAACGGCATCACATTGAAACCACTTTTGTTTTGCTTCTGGAGTTTACTCTCATGTTCCTCAGTTTAAACAAAATAGAAGCGTGAATGAGTCTGCGGATCAGCGTTAGACTCCCATCACCAGGCTGAATCTGCAGATGTGCTCCAGCTGTGAAGCGATTGGTGCAGCTCGCCTGGTGTGAAGCCGAGCGTCACCGAGAACGACGGCGTGAAGCCCAACTCGTCACAAACCTGATCAGACCTGCACAGGTCACGCCGGCACGAATACACGTCAGTGTGAGGAGAATCGGAAACATGCAGCTCAACACTGAGAGAGGAACCTGACGTTCACATGACGACATCGACACTTTATCACATATCATTTTATTCAGCTTTCGTTTCTGGAACAAAGCAGTACTCTTATTGTGAAGTGCACAGGAAGGATCGTAAACTGTGCCAAAGTAAAAGTCATTATTAATAACGTGCCCTGCCTTATGAGGGCGTTTCTGAATGAAATGATTGAACTTTATTCCGTAAAAAGAACAAACACGTTTCTCACTGATGTGAGCGTTTGTGGATTTTCTAAATGTTTTAAAACATATTCAAAACTGTAAAAACCTTCATATAAAAACAACATCTGCCCGTACAGATGTGATGTGTTTGAGACACCGACATACAGACGTGTGTCTGATAAATATACATAAATACAAAGGTATTAATGTGTGTTAGTGCGTGAACGCGTCACACAGCACAGCCATGCATCTGTCACTGATCTGTGAACTGAGCTTGTAAATAAATTAAAACTATTATAACTTCGCTGTTAGTTTTTCATGGACTTTCTGGTTGACGTCTTGGTGCTGACAGACGGGTTGACCTCGCTCGGTCTGCAGGTCGATTCTCAGAGGGCGTGTTCTCGGTGACGCGCTCGGCCGGCTGCTGTCCTTAACACCAAAAACGTGGAAACCTCCTAACTCCAGCTGGCTTTGTGTGGAGTTAGCAGCTTTCCACGGGACATCAGGTTGGAGCTAAAGGGCTGTGGAGGTAGGCGGAGACTGACATCATCAGTGGGGACACAGTGGAGGAGGGGCAGTGACTACATCTCCCAGCATGCACTGGGACTGTCAGGGGCGGTGGGAGGAGCTTTTGGGGCAGAAAGCATCCCTTTTACGTGCATGAGGACATCTCTGTATTATGGGGACGTTTTTCCTTTATGAAGACAGTCAGGCACTGTGGGGACACTCTGCATTACGAAGACATGGTGACATTAATGCCAATAATAGACTGAAATGTCCCCATGTCCACTCACAGCTGCACAGTGCAGAAGCGGGTTTAAGGTTCAAATAAAGTTTTACCAAATTTTCCTGAACACAGAGAAACAAACTTTCTGGATCGCTGAACCAAAATGGCGGAGCTTCCTGCTAACAGGTCATGCGTCGCTGTGAAAGGACATCACCCAAAAACCTCAGTGGGATGACCCCACACTCTGGTTCGGTGATCCGGGCGACATCTGTGACTCTGTGTAAAGGAACCACCTCCTGTCCCAGAGGCTCCTCCCACCGGCCAAACTGTAATCAGTAATCGGGGACACAGGTGATCCTGGAGATCGATCCCAATTTAGGCTCATGGACTCAGATCAAGAAGAACGGCGTCGCCAGTTATGACCAGTTCCACAACCAGTCATACTTTTGATAATTCAGTGCGATCAACAGAACAAATTGTACAACACCACAGACATCCACCCGAAGGAAACCAGTCCCAAACAGTTCTTTCAAAATAAAAGACCCTCTGGTGGGAGGAGGCAGACAGCTACAAGCAGAGGAAGGCAAGTGTGTGTTTGTACAGTGTGTGTGTGTTTGTACAGTGTGTGTTTGCTTTGTGTGGTGGGAGTTACTGTGACAGATGGTGTGTGTGTTTGTAAAAATGTGTGTGTGCTGCTTAATGTTTGTAAATGCTTCTGTTGATATTTTTGTGGGGTCCTGTGATTTAGGCAAATTTTGTGGGGACATTTCTGCATTATGGGGACATTTCTGCATTATGGGGACATTTCTACAGTGTGGGGACATTTCTGCATTATGAGGACATTTCTGTATTATGGGGACATTTCTGTATTATAAGGACATTTCTGCATTATGGGGACATTTGTGTATTATAAGGACAATTCTGCATTATGGGGACATTTCTGTATTA